GAAATTCTTCACTCCGTTCTTTGCTGTCTTTTCCTCTTCTTAGCCTCCCCTTCTTCACTGCCCTTCTACTTTCCTCTGCTTTTTCTACCTCCGGCTCGTTCCTCACTTTTGTCTTTTCCCTTCGTGTCTTTTCCCTTCCGTCTACTCTCTTGCTTGTCTTCTCTCTCTCTTTCTTCGTTGTCTCCCTCCTCCTCCCTGGAGCCACGGCGTGGCTGAGCTTGGTTCCTGTCGTTGCCCTCGCCCAATTTCACGTTAGACAATCGAGTTTTCGGTTCGGAGAGAGCAAGCGGAGTCTTCGTGCCTTGTCTCTTGGCGGTAAGTCGTAGCGAGAGTGCTCTTGCTTCCCTTCCCGGTCTGCTCCAAGAGGAAACTGAATCGATTCGTCGTTGTCCTTTTCTCAACTTAGATGCGTCCCGCTCCTCGATGCTCGTCCCTTCTGTCTTCTTTCTCTCCCCTTCTCATCCCTTCCTTCCTGTTTCTAGCTGAGTTGGGAGTAGCCACGCCCGGGGGCGTGGCGTGGCGTATTCTCTCCCCCCGTTTTCCCACCTTGTCTCTTCGCGTTCGAAAGTAAGTGGTAAAGCACGCGCTTACACGCGCGGCGCGAATTCATGCTTGGGCCGGGAAATTGTTCCGTGGCGTGGACGCGCGAATTAGCGCTGCATAATTAGCGCTCACCAGTCGGCGCCTGCGCCTCTCGAAAAACCTCTCAACACTCGTTTTGCCCTTTCCGACTAACTCTTATCTTGTCCGTTGGATCATTTTCGGAAACTACAGACCAGATGCGGATGTAGCGAATGCAGCAGAGGACAAACTGATCCTTTTTTTTTCCCCTCAACCTTGCTGTTTGCACCTGCTGAACAACAGACTGATCTACATCATCTTCGTCAACACGACTGAGTGAGAGAGTTCACACGTCAAAGTCCAAACCCTCTCCGCTCATACGGCAATGTCGAGAGGTTTCCCTTTTACTTTCTCAAAGTAGGCTCCAACCATTTTTCCCGGGTTTCAGCGATGTTGACTGAACCTTTTCATTCATTGTTGGTCAACACATTGACAAAATGATAGATTTGTTGAGGAATCAGAGGTCAACCTCTGGTCCCTTGCTGATGCCTTGCAAATGCATTGACTATTTGGTCAACGCATTGACTATGTTAGTCAATGCGTTGGTCAAGAAGACACTTCCGTAGCCTTATCACTGATTCGAGGAGAAGAATGTAGACCATGTTGACTACGGTAAGGTCAAAGTTCCGTCAAACATGTTCAGGTGAAATGGTTGACTCTCTTTTTTTCTCGGAAAATAGAAGAAACGAAACCGGCAAACTCCTTTTTTCTCAGAAAATAGAAGAAACGAAAGCGGCCTAGCTCAGTCGATAGAGCACAAAAGTGGCATTCAGGAGGTTGGGGGTTCGATTTCCTCTGTTTTCCATTTGAATCTCTACTGTAACGGCCTCCTGTAGCGTGCTGCGGGTTCACCAGCTGAGATAGTTGGCTTGCCCCCTCTGGTTGGTCTTGGTAGGGGGTGTTTCTTCCGTGCCTTCCACCCCTCGCCAGGGATTAGGACCGTTGGCACCAAGTGGAGTTAAAAAAACGGTTCCTCGGATTACCCCACGGTGCTTTGACATGGGTGGAGGGTGGTGCTAAGACGTATAGGTATTAGGTAGGTACTAGGTAGGTAGGTGTGAGGTATAATTGAGAGAAGAATATAGCCCTGTTTTTCTCATTAAAAAAAAAAAAAAAGAAAAAAAACTTGAAAAGGAAGAAAGAGGAATAAAAAAACCTTTAAAAACAAAAAGAAACTGGCAAATTCATGTGAGCACATGGAATGATGCCAGCCTTGAAATACACCCTGTGTTCTGGGGTTGGTTTCACTCCAACCCTAAACCCTAAAAACTGTCTGCACACTGCACATAAAATTTCTTTGTTGACTGTCGGAAGATTCACTGAGATCTTCCTGAAAACTCTCTGAATGGATTAGGCCACAAAATTGTTTTACCAACTGTTGGAAGACAGACTCCCTGAAAGTTCAAATGACATGACACAAGTGACACTGTGTCAGTGCAATTCTTTTGCCGAGTACCGGAAGGCTTGTGACGACTCTTTGGAAGTACAATGCACAAAGCTGCTTAGTACCTGATATCTCGAATTTTAAATTTGAACTGAAGTTTACTGTTTACTATTTAAGCTTGGGCTACCAGGGGTGCCCAGCTGGGCACACCATGCAGGTCGCCTGGCGATCTGGCAGCCCAGGGTACCCCGGGCATGTAAGATGTTTTCTGTTTTCCCTCGTCGGTGGGGCTTTTCTGCGCCCACCGAAAGCAACCCAAATCGGGGTATATTATTTTAGTTTTAGAGTTCTCCGTTTGAAGCGGGGAAGGGGGATGGAAATGGGAGTTAAAGTGTCTAAAAGGGGTTTAAACTTTAAACTTTAAAAATGGGGGTGAGCAAATGAAAGAAATCCAAATTGCATCATCACATTGAAAACCAGATGGTCGTGTGTCACACGGAAAACAGAATGCACCAATTAATTATACACCAAGTAAGAGCAAAGCAATGAGCTCAATTGTCAATGCCAGCCCCTATCATAGTATCTTGCGACCATCAACGAAGTATCCAATGTCGCTCTTCCAACTCGCGCCTGGCGCCCAACCACAGACTGATGACACCCGTCCTAGCCTACACTATGACGACGCGACCAGAAGAACTTCAGCAGCAGAACTGATGCGCATTAAGATGTCGACCATGCAGAGCTTCACGACACACCAGGTACATACTGCTCGCTCCCAGGCTCAATCCCTGACTGTCTCCGCACAGGCTTACAACCATGCCCAAGGACTACGACCAACCCCACCGGCTTCCATGCACATTCAACAAGGCTATGGCCGACGTGCAGCACTGCATCCAGCAGTGCCCAACACCAGTGCCCATGCGCGCTTCCATCTCTGGACTGAGTGCTCATCCCATTGTGCGCTCAAGCAGGGGCTCCCGCAGCATACACCAGCCAGAATGTGTCTGGACGGGTGCCCAGCACGTTCCTTTATGGAATGTGCTGGCTGCCTTGGACCCTGCCTGGGCGTGTGTACCTGGTTCCCACTTGCTCTTCACGTCCAGTCCCAGTGTCGGCCCCTGGGGGAATGTGCCCTGGGCCCCGTTTGGTTGGAGGGCTTAACTGCCCGACGTGACCGTTGCTGCTCGCTGCTTCCTGATTGGCCGAAAGGCCTCATGCCACGTCGCAGCCAGCGCAAGGTCCTGGAACCCACAATGCTCTGATCCCACAGCCAGGGCCCTGCCTGTTCTCAACTGCCCCACACTGCTTTTCCAACTGCCTGGCATGGGGGCAGGCCTCTGAAGTGTCCGAAAGTGGGTCCGGCGGCCTGTTTACCACGCAGCCCTTAGGCTGCGGCCCATTTCGGGTCTGCTGAGGCCCTGATGCCTCACAGGTGCAGTAGTTTGATTTTTTTTTATTTTTTTTTTTAATCTTCGGTTCCATGAGGAATTCTGAGGTGACCCTCCGCCACAAGTTGTTTGCATTGCAATTCCGCACAACTCGTACTTTTTCGAGAATGTTTTTTTTTTGGTTCTTTTGCTTTCCCCCCCCCCCACTGGGGGTGACTGGGACCCTGCCCAGGGGTCAGGCGTGTGTCCAGCCACGGCATTCGTGTGTGCCTGGGCGTACGAAAAAACAGCCTAGTATTTAAGTTACTATTTAACTAAAATTTAAGTGAATGTATGGGGTTCTTATTACTGGAGTTCAAATTTGGCAATTTTTCAATATTTTCGGCAATTTTTCGCTGAATTTTAGAGTCTAAACTTTTATGCCCCCAAAAAAGGGAAACCAGACTTACCCTTCTGGATATGGCTACATTACCAATTGTGGACTGCAAAACAAGGTGAGCAAAGTGATGAAGAACTACACTGTCACATAGTACGTAGGTTCATCGCATCCATAAACTTTCAAAAATACGCAACACGAATCTTGCACAGTAATAGCACACAAGTCATGTACAAAGCACATGAACGCGTCTAGTTCCTACCAAAGATCAAGATAGCTGCACTTCAGAAAAGTAATAGCACACAATTCATGTGTTTCAGTTTGACCTTAAACCACAAGTACATGGCCCCAGCCTTGCAGTCCAAAAAATGAGGCCGAAACATCAAATGCTGGGCCCGCCGTTGATAAATTCGATCGGCGGCCCCGTTTTCGTTTCACGCCTTCAGAATGTGAGGTGTCAGACCCGCGGCCAGGTGCCCATGTACTGGTGGTTTAAGATGCTGCCATCTTCACCCGAATAGAACGCCCGGTCGTTATCGCTGCATCTAGACTGAAAGTCGCACCAAGTGCAGCTATAATGACTGGGCGTTCTATTTGGGTGAAGGCGGTAGTCAGCGTTTTCTGACACACCCTACGAAGCTTGCTGCTGTGGTTTGTGTGTATGTGCGTGTGTGCTTCGCTGTTGCTTTTGTGTGCTTCCGGATTCATCATAGATGCAAAGCGGAAGCAGTAGTGTTTGCAATTATCATCATCATCATCATCAGATTTCTGTCTGCCATAGTTAACCTTGTTTGCTTTTGTTTTCTATATCATCATCATCATCATCATCAGATTTCTGTCTGCCATAGTTAATCTTGTTTGCTTTTGTTTTCTAGTGTGTGTGCATTTCCTTTCTAGTTTTTTTTAGTGTTTGCTGGAGCTTCCCAATTACTGGCTTTGCTGTTCGCGTTGATTAAAAACATTTCCTTCGCTTCTTTCATTTTGTATGCATGGTCTTTCATACCCGCATAGAATCTAAAACTATACACATCACTAATACAAATCACAATTTTTGCAATTAGTTAACAACTTAATGTTTAGGAAACGAAACCACATAAAGGTAGATTAACCTTTTTTTTCCTTCTTTTCCTTGTTCTTCTGCCAAGTTTCTTTGTTGATCTCCTTTTCTTCATTTGACCATGTGACGATGTCATATTCTGTGTTCTGCTGGTGATATCTTCTCGAGCATCAGGAATACTTGCTGGACCCTAACTTCCATGGTACGGTCATTTACATGCATTCATGGTATGCCTTTCTTTCGTGTCTTGGCTTTTTCCTTTCTGTTTTCCCCAACCGTTTTTTCTTTTTTTTTTTCCGAGTCACATTGTTGTGGTTGTACTCGTTGTTATTCTGATCGTTGTTGGCTGCCACTTGGCAACACGGGAAGCAGGTTATCCCACCCTGTTTTCCCTAACTCAATCTTACATTACAGGGTTTCATTGTCCTTCCCCTCTTCCCCTCTTCTCCTCTCCCTCTCTCCTTGGCCACCTTCCAAACTCCCGAGCCCTGTTATCCCAATCCGGCGGTTATTTCCCCTGCTTCCCACGCCCCCCTCCGTCCCCACTTCTTCCCTCTTTTACCCTTCCCCAACCCGTCCCTCCCTATTCCCCCCTTCCCCCTACCCCTCCACCCATCGTCATGATGCCTTCTCCTTGTCCGTTGACTCCCCGTTCCTCGTTGCTTTATGTGTGTTTTGCAGCGTTTCGCCTGCAAACTGGCTTTTTTTTTTTTTTGGGCCTGCGAAATGTTTCGTTATCTACTTATTCAAAAAGTTCTGGAGGAGATGAGATCCCTTCACCGTCTGGTTTTCGGTTCATGATCGGTTGGCCTTGCCCTTCGGCAAGTCCAGCCCGTGAGGAGAGTACAAACTAGGGGTCAAGCCCCTCTGAGTCAGGTGTTTGTACCATGAATGTGGTCGGAAGAACGGTTACGCACATGCTAGTTAGTGCAGATGCAGCACCAGTTTGGGGATGCCCAATAGTGCAAACTGAATATAGAACACTGTATTGCGAACTAAGGATAAGACATCCAGAACTACCGTTTCATGATTTCTTAGCTTATTAATATTAATATATAATAATAATATTATATAATAGCAATCTCGTATACATGTACTCAACTGCTTATCTCCTTCAGCTCGAGTACATATACATGATGTCAATATCATCATATCATTGATTCATATGTTTATTAAACAAACAAAAAACCATTTTCTTCTTCAGCTTCCCCTCCCATAGTAAGTGCACCCATGTTTGGTCAGACAACTCCATTTCATCTGCAAGCAGTTTGAAACCTCTCTCTCTCTCTCTCTCTCTCTCTCTCTCTCTCTCTCTCTCTCTCTCTCTCTCTCTCTCTCTCTCTCTCTCTCTCNTCTCTCTCTCTCTCTCTCTCTCTCTCTCTCTCTCTCTCTCTCTCTCTCACACACACACACACACACACACACACACACACACACACACGCACACTAATGGGGATTAAATTACTTATTTGAAGTGATGTTCTGCAACGAGTACATGACAAAACTACATGTACATGCTTGTGGTATAACGTTACTTCGTTGTTCCCCACACACTGCAATTATCGCTCTGTTCCAGGGGGTGAATACTCTCTCTCCAAGTAGTCCTTCCAGACACTCCGCAGTTAATCCCATCTGTCGCAGGAGGCACATCTGTGACTCTGATTGGCATCCCCATTGCCAGTTTTTGTCCCCTCAAAGACCAGGAGAAGTGAGGAATCTGAGGATTGTGTGTGTGTGTGTGTGTGTGTGTGTGTGTGTGTGTGTGTGTGTGTGTGTGTGTGTGTGTGTGTGATAATATGTGTGAAAACACCACGTATACCCATAATATCTCCAGTACAACAGAGTTGCACTCCGGACGGCCACCTCGTAGGAGAAAACCATGCACAAAGACTTGAAGGTTAATTCTCACATAGCTGGATGGAAATAAAACAGAAGTTCAAGACTGAAAGAAAAGAAGTTCAGGAAAAAAAAAAAAAAGAAGACAAGCATAAATGACAGACTGTTTTGTCGGACTTGCACCGACTCATGAGGAGGTTGAACCCTCTACAGTCTGCGGAGTGAGTCATGGTCTCCTTTAACCCTTGCTGTGAGTGGACAGCCAGCATGCGACATTGCGAGCAGCAAGGCAAGGGCGAGGAGACAAGGCACTGAACGGTGGGCAACAACAAGGCATGCGGTGAGGCAAGCAGCAGGGCACAGAGACTGAAACGAGGCGCCAGAAGGGACTGAAAAGGCATCAGCAACAAGGCATGAGGACTGGAGGGCATGGGGGAGAATCGGGAGATGGTGGGCAGCCAAATGACAAGACAAGCAGCAGGGCAGCATGTTGAGCAACGGGCAACACAGCAGCAAAGCAACAAAACAGCAGGGCAGCAAGGCAACAGGGCAGCGCAGCAGCAACAACAATGCAGCCCACTCATAAAAACCAAGGATGTATGCAGAACATCACCTACTCATACCAAACTAGAACTCTGCAGACTGTAGGTTCACACCACCATCGGAGCCAGAAAGTCACTTCGACAAATGTCTTCCATCACCGACGGAACATACTGACACAGGCACCCTGAACACAGCATCCCCCTAATAGACGAAGTGTTAGGCACCCTGAACACACAACAGCCCCCTAATATAGGTAAGTGTTAGGCACCCTGAACACAGCAGACCCCATATCCTCCACGTTTTTAGGCCGTTAACGCGGGGGCTGAATCGGTGTGCCGCACGGGTCCATGTGCATTTGGGTCAGAGCCTCCCCAGAGGGGTCCGGGGGTACTGGTGGTTTGAGTGTTAGGCACCCTGAACACATCAGCCCCCCAATACCCTGAACACATCAGCCCCCAACAGACGAAGTATTCCAGGCATTCCAATCAAAGGCGACTGACTGTTTGGCACATACTAGAGGTGCTCACGTAGACACAAGCGAAGCACAGGAAGAGACCCGAGAGCACATAAAATGGATAATGGACAGAAAATACTTACGAGTAGGGGGGAGGGGAAAGAGAACTTAAAGAAAGGATATCCATTAACAATTTAACATCCATTAAAATTGGATTGATACAGAGCAGATGAGCATGGCCCCTGCGCTGCTGCGCAAGGATGATGCACATAAATTGAGAAATGGGCCAAATGGCCCAATTCTTTTCGTAAAGCACCACTACCTTTTCCCATGTCGGCGTCGGGTGGGCCTCCAATCTTTTAGGAGGCTGAAACGAGACGATGACCGCCGATGAGATTTATCAACGGCGGCAGTCATCGGGCCCAGCCCCCAATTTTTCAGGAGTAGGATATTTTCCCGTTTTCCCAACAGTGGGAAAGTTAGTGGTGGTTAAGGGGGGAAAAAAAAAGGAACGATAGTTACGATACAGCGAAGATTAGCATGGCCCCTGCACAAGGATGACACACACAATCGAGAAATGGTCCAAATGATTCTGTGTGCACGTGTGTGTGTGGACTCAAGGTGGGGTGCAAGAGTGACCTGCTGGTAAGTCTCCTGATCCTACAATGCATACAATACATACAATACATACAATACAAGAGACCCAGTCCCGCCACCGCAGGGTTCTACAGGGTCGCATGAGACCCCACTCTTTGGAACCCTGTGTGAAACTACACCCCTTAGAGAAAATTTCAGCACCGATCAATATGCCCGTTAAGATCTTCTTAAGGCGTAGTATAACGATACTCATGCCTCCCATCACTTTAAGTACATCTTGATAACTAGAGTAACTCCTTAAACCTGGTTTGCTAATCCGTCTTAAGGTAGTTATATATGGTTCACATGTTCGATGCTCGTTCTTGATATTTAATGTTGTATTGATTTCCCTGCAGCAGAATATCGGCTTGTGCGTGAGAGATAGTTACTCAAGGGTTGATAAGAAATCTTTGAGTTCTCAACAAGAGAGAAGTCAAATTCAGTAAACTTACTTCTCTGGACCGCCCCTTGTCCCACAGGGAATTGAGTGAAGTTTTCTCTATGCTAGAAAATATGTGATAACATAAAAGAAAAAGAAGACAGGAGGTGAAACTCTTTCTCTCTAGTGCTATCCTAGCTATGGCGCCCAGCGCTGAAGACTACAGCTACCTACTGGCGCCAAGCGCTGAAGACTAATGCTAACGCTACTACTACTCCTGCAGCTCTCCCTCCAGAGTGCTGCTGCCGAATCCTGAAGACTACTGACTGCCTCCTGCCCACCCGTGAAGTGCATGGGAAGTCCCTATGTACTATCTCGGCCTGCCTCCTGACTGCCTCCGACTGCCTGCAGTTGCAGGGCGGGCAGTCCAGGAGGCTGCTTTTGCCAATGCCGAACTGGGCCAGGGGCTGCCGCTGCAGCTGTCGTGGGAAAAGGCCAAAAATAGTCTGTTCCTAAAACCCTGGTTCGGTGCCTGAGTTTCAGGGCAGGCTGGTCTGATGACAGACCGGAAATGGCCCTTCGTTTCAGGCTAAAAAGGCTGCTGCCATTTTTAGTCTGAAACGACACAGGGTCTGTAGGCCCCTGGATTTCAGGCTTTCGAGCTGAATGGTCACGGGGCCTGTAGGCCCTGTTTTTCAGGCTTTCGGCCTGAGGGACGCAGGGCCTGGAAAATGGCCCTTGTGTGCAGGCGCAGCATGTAACAGCGGGGTTATTGGGGGTTTCTGGACCAAAAAAAAAAATGTGGGGTGCCAACGACCCCACAATGGGGTTTGAAACTGCAGCTTGTGCAGTCTTCCATCTGATGGGGTTGACTGACAGTCGGCTTTGATTTTCATAACAGGTTTCCTAGAGGGCAGTGGTTGTTGCCCACCTCAGGGTATCAGTTGTTGGGCAGTCGTTGATGCTTAACGTCAAACCACCAGTACCTACCAAATTTTTCGTACCCCCCAGCCTCAAATGAATTTGGACTGGAGGCGCAGGCCGATTCGGCTTCCACGTTAACGGCTGCCCCAACTGGTACATACCGGTGGTTTAAATGGGGCTAAGGGGGATGGCTACTAACAGCATCATCGGTAGCAGACTTTGCAGACTGTAAAGGGTTCAGCCTCCGGATAGAATTTGCCCAAAAATGAGTACCTAAACCAATCATCATATCTTTGGCCAAGTATCCTACAAAAAGACTTCCAAAAGCCAAAAGTATTAAAGAGATTGCCATCAGAGTAGGAGCATCGTGACATCTTTCGATGTCTCGCTTAAAAATATTGGTTGGAGCAAGAAAAGCGGGAAAAAGTAGACGAAAAGAATAATGAGTCAGTGAA